GTTTTCAGTCGGAGATGTTTCAAACATTCTCACAAAAACAAAATAAATTCACTGCCTGTGTCAGCCCGTCCAGGGTCTGCAGCGCTGACCTTGCGCTGACGTGCGAAGGGCTGGCTGTTAAGACCAAGTTTCAGAAAAGAATTTAAATGAGAAAGCGTCGGAAGCGAGGAGGTCCAAAGGGAAGCGCGGTGGGGCTGTGCTTTCCTCCCCTCCGGAGAGGCCAGGAGTGCCCTGAGCCAGCAGCGGGGCTGCGGCTGGATTTGCTGTATGGCTTCCCAAAGTGTAAGCAAAATGGTGCTCTCCGAGGTCAGGACACGTTGGAGTGTTTCGGGCTTCTGGTATCATTTAAAAAAGGAAAAAAAAGAAAGCAACAGCCTCCTAAAGCCTCATCCGGAGGACCATGACCAGCAGAAGAAAGCCCCCAGGCGCTAATGAATTGCACTTCTCTCAGGACGTGCGTGTTCTGCACCTTTTAAGCCCCAAGCAACCGGTGATAAGGGACTTCTTAGGGCTCGTTTTTCAGTAGGTAATGCTCCCTTTCGAGAGCTCCTGTGAAAGTAGCGTCGTCCTTATTTTGCGACTTGCAATTATACTTCACATGGTGAACTGTGTAATTAGTTTGGAAGACTTATGCCTAGTCATTGGTTTATCCTAATCGGCTTTGGCTTTTCCCGACAACAAAGTGAGCTTATTTTCCTAAGCTGAAACAACTCTGCTCCCTTTGTTCCTCTCTTTTATTGTCTCATTCCTTTCATTCTGTTTTACTGCCAAAGTTTTGTTTCATTAGGCCTACAAGTCATTTCCAATCCAGTGGGCTGTTACAATAAGGCCTTTATAACTCAGCTGCCCTGGTTCCCATGTCCCTTCTGGTCTGGAGCCAGGACTTGCTATTTGACATGGGATTTTAACCCTTTCGGTGCCCCAGCTGCGATCCCCCCCCACCCCGGGGTGCTGAGGCTGCCTTGGTGCGGTGCAAGCCAGGCTGGGGACGTGGGTTGGAGGGGACCCCCGATGAGCTTACGAACACCAGACACTTGCGTGCGGTCGTTAATTGATGGGTTAACGTGGTTGGGCTCCAGGTATGCTTTTTGACCCAATTATTGAAACGGAATTCTGAGTAAAAATCTTCTTACTGAAAATACCATAATCAGGCTTGGTGGGAACGGGCCTTTGAATGAAAAGGCCACTGTGTCCTTCCAGCCCCCGCTTCCAGCACGATGGGAACGGTGATGTTAGAGGTACGTTTCAGTTGTCCTCAGCTATTAGATCAGCCCCTGTATCGCTGTTCTTGTAGAAAACCCGTGTTTTCTGGTGCGGGAGAGAATACATTTAAGTTCATACTTTTTTGGAGAAGAATGGGGGATTTTTAAAGGAGATGTGTGAGAGTTTTGGGGACAAGCAATATTTTTATATAGTGTTATTTCAGTCTACGAGACAAGCAGCACCGGTGTTGGTGGCCCCGGCTCTTTTCTTCTTCTAAAAATCTTGAAGTGGGAGCGTTGGCTCTACGTTTTTTTTTTCTTTCACACCAATCTAAAATGACTTTTGGGGAAGGGGGCTACGGCATTTGCTTTTTATTTTGAATTTTCAGATGAAATTGGAACAGGCCAGTACGT